GTAATCCAATTAGTAATACTGCTCCATTATGTAACAAATCTAATAAACAGATTAGAATGGAATAATATCAACTAACTAACCGATCGAAAACAGGATATGAATGTATCATAATCAATGGTTTGCCAATGAATCAACCGGTTAGTTCTAGGATCAATAGAACCATCTATTAGAGTACTACCGCAGTGACATAAAATGTTATTGTTTACACAGCAGAGAATTACTCACATGATATTCAGACTTCACTATAGATGATGATGATGATGATGATGATGATGATGATGATGACAATAAAATCTCTGGACTGTTTTTATCAGTTAACGTGGGTGTATGCAATTCATCTGCGCCACCAGTTTGTTGTAGTGAATTTGACTTTTCTATTGAATTGCTCGGTGATGTTGTATTGAAACAAGTTTTTTTCATCTTTGGTTCATAGTCATTATTCGATCCAGGCGATGGTGATGATGATGATGATAAGTTGTCAACTAAATCATCTAGTTGATCATTTGATTTTAGATTGAAATTCCTCACAGTACTTCTTTGACCAACATTATCACAAGAATGCTTACGTTTCAATGGATTTATAATATCATCAATGTTGTCCGTAGTATTGGCTCTAGTTAATGGATTTGTTGTATTTGGATAACTGATTAGATCGTCTTTTTTACTGTTACTGACGATTTGAAGAGTATCTTCGGGTAGATGAAAACCAATACTCTCTCGAAGTGACTTTGTTTCTAATGAGATCTACATAATAATTAGTGTTATTTTTTACATAGTGAAAATAGGAGAAATTCAATAACTAAAAGACAATTAGATTGTAATCAGAACATCTGTATATATTTTCTTCCTACTATGGTGCATTTGATGGCTAGCAGTGGAATCCATGACATGTTTCGTCCTACTTGGGACTTGTCAGCTGGATGCACTTGCACCCCAAAGTTTGATATTGCTCCCAAAGTATTATCCACTAAGTCACTGGGGCATGATCACCACCACTTGTGTAACGGGTGTCCGTCGTTATTGTTGATTGATATTTGTAATTTCTCGTTGCCAAACTGGGTCGAATATCTCAACCTCCGTTAGCAGATGTGCTTCTATGGGTATGCCTGCCTTCACTGAATAAAAGTTAACGTGGATTTTTGTAATCAACTTTCAATCAGATCTCTCTTAATAAGTTTATTAAAAGCTACATTGTTCCCAAAGTTTGAGTGTTTACATTGGCATATATTCAGTACACTTTTACAAGCGTATTAGCAACAACTATAATCAGTAAAAGAGTATATATACTCTGGGATACCTAACCTGTTTGCTCGGGAGTGCATGTATCGTACTTTGTTGGGCGACGCGAAAGTATGCAATGCATGCAAGGTATGATTAAGACTATATGCCTACTGTCTCCCCCGAGCAAGGTCGAATCAGCCGACGGGCTTGCCTATATCTGTGGTGTGTTGCAGGTCAATGATGACGTCCATTCTAGTAACCGCACTAGTGGTCGCTATCGAATGTTTGGGGCGATGAAGCTTATATCATCCCTCTTGACTGGGCAATGGGTATATTGGAAACAGTCACCGATAGACCCTTGAACCAAGTCGATTGTCTGTTACAATCATTCGGGTTGTGATGCCTTGGGTGCCACCTCACTAACCTAGGAGAGAAGGGCGTTGGTATTGGTCGAGCGATGAGTGTGAGATGCGGTCGACTTTAGCGGGATAACCCAAGTTGGGAACTCAATCCCGTCCCAACTAAGAAGACACGGGTGGATAACCGGGACATTAAGGTCTTCACCGTTAGCCGGAGTGCATGGTTCGTTATGTACACCATTTTCATGCATATATGCCTAATTGGAAGCCGGCTCATTGGCAGATAACGTTCAGATGACATTAAATGGCTAACGTTTGTGAAATCGGAACAGTAAAAGAGTATAATATACAGAAATTTGGTTTTACAGACACCATACGCTATTAAATGATGACCATGCATTGTTTATACCATCTCGCGACCCAATCATAATTCAGCTAACATTCCACGTCATTGGAGGTGGTGATTCGTTTGCACAACTTTGATCAGTTTGATGGGAATATCCATGAATTCCACACACTAGTACCTCCATTACTTTACTCAGTATTTTTATGCTGCCATCCTTAGAAATTGGTAGTGGACAGTCAGTTCTCACTGCTTTGCTTCGTTTCAGATTTCAAGCAGTCTTCTCAACTTTGAGGAGACTTGAGGGACCAACGTCAACATTCCACTCAGGTTGGATCTGGATACTATGTAATTAAAGCGTCCCCATAGATCAGCTGAACTGCTGTTCAGCGTTCCGCCCAATGTTTGAATCACCTATCGTGACAGGTCATCATGTACTCGCCTTTTTCAGTAATGGTTTCCCTAACCATCATCTTCTTGTCAGTATTCTTAATAACCCCGAACAGTTGTCTGGTATTGCCTACTGCTTTATCCACCCAGGACTACACGCAACCATTGTGAAAACTAGTAACCAATTTGTGTCTAAGCTGCTTTTCTTCCTTACTGTAGAGCGAGCCGGCTGGAATGGATCTAACTACATTAAACAATTCTAATGAGGCTGCATAAATCCAAAAACTTTTGCTAATCTGAGGATATAATGAGTTACTAACTGTGCTTACCACTGTTTCTACAACCTACGGAATACCACACTAGGCTCTATAAAAAAGAGAATTGCTATCACGTTCAGGTAAGTACCTAATCACCTCCTTTCTAAATACACACTTGACGTTCTCATCTTTCAGTCGAGTACATAGATGCTTCACTACGATCTGTTTCCTGCATTCAGTAAGGCATAAACCTACCCGTACTAAAGTGTGATCAAAGTTCAAGTAAGTAGGCGAGAAAGAACGAAAATCTTCTCCAACGATGTTTTACAGTAATATGATATACTTGTGTCCACCGGTGGTTTGATGTCAGCGGACACCATAATCACTTGTACCACAACTTGTGATGTACTTCTTAGTGTATGAAATATATAAACAATGAAGATTCAGTAAATTCAGACGTTGAGATTCATGAACGGTAGATAGTTGGCGTCAAATAAAGCTATAGTAAGCAACCTCAATTGTCAGTATACCAAAGAAATTATTCACGTTTCCTTGTTCACAAAAGTATGTTATTTGCTCACTAACAGTAATTAGACATCATCCTTCTATAATGATCTCCGTCAGATATATAGTGTTTATGGAATGAAACTGTTATATATCTTCGTCGCCAACGGTTATGTATTCCGAAGGAATATAATACGCATGCTCAGCTGACAGGTAACTTAGTTCCCAAGATCCACTGACTGCAACTCCGGGACGAATAGAGGAAGAAGACCGAAGCTGGATGATGAGAGAGTTTATTACTCCGAACATATCGACCAATTAATTCAAAAGCACGTGACTATCCACACACACACACACACACACACACACACACACATGAATTATGACCTTGTCTTCAATCACAGACATTGACATAGTAAGAATAAGGATTAACCAATGAGCGAATTACATTACAATCGGGGCAGAAAATAAACTAAACTACTAGTCATGCTGTGAAAATGGTGTGGAAATGGCAAGTTAAAAATGTTCAGATGAATAAGAATGTTTTATGCAAAACTGCGGCCTCACAACAGAAATCTTTTCGAATTAATTACTAGATTATATTAATTTTCCCTCATTGACATTCAGGCTGTATAAACGGTGGCAACGTGAGTTCGATTCATGTCCAACTATGGTACCAGATAAAAACTGATCTTTAAACAAAATTTTTACTTCTGCTGTAAACAAATAATTGGAGCAGTAAAATATACATCGACTGCCAAACAATAAGAAAATTGCAATGGTTTTTTACTGAAGAACAATCAATTTCATAGTTTCTTGTTCTAAGGGACTGACCGAATTGGATCGATAATTTAGTAATGTAATCACTAGATTAAGATGGTTGAAGACATTCGGTCAAAAATCCTGCTGGACCTAGTTCTCATGTTTTTTGGCACTCGTCAAAACGGTGTGTCTGTCTACAAACTCGTAAGAGCTGATGTCCCCTCACAGACTGGAACCCGTGTTACTCAATATTGTAGTCAGAGACGTTACCACTGAACTATTCAGACAGTTATTAACCTCCTGTGGGACTGCATTAGACACATAGACTGGTCAATGGAAGGAATACCAACAAACACGAAGACTACGTTCAGGGTTTACGTTTACCAAAGTCCACCTCTACTGTAGTGTCTTAATTCAGTGCGCATATTATTAAATGATCAATAGAATGCGGTCAGCAGTTACGAACATATATAACATGAAATTAGTTACTCTCCAATCACCAATTAGTGTACCTAAAACAGTCATGTGGACGTCGATCGCTGCCCAAATAAATCGCTGTTAAGGGTCTCTGACAGTAGCACTGAGTGATGCCTGGTGGAATCTCCCAGGAGACATCAGAACATGTGAGGCTACAGATGCACCTTACTGACTAGACCTAGTAGAGTTTCCTGCCAACCGTTTTCAACTAAGCAACTGCACGTCAACTAAACAACTTTCTCAATGACAGTGAGAAACAGGGCGATAAAGTTCCCAAAGAATCGTAAGATAATGTCCCACCATAATCCAACCAATATTTCATAACTCAGTGCTTCAATGAAATCCCACCTTCTACTTACAAATTAAAAAAAACTAAGTTGGTAAAAAATAATACAATTTACGAAAGATATGAATCATACTCACTTCATGAATAGCCCTACAAATACGACGAGAGAAAGTTTGATCCTGTAACATACGATCAGACATTTTCTCGAACTCTGTAGCCAGTGACTGTAAACTGGCATAAAATCCAGTTGGTCCAGTAGTACTAGTTTGCATGGATTGTCCAAGTAATGCAGCTGAGGTAGCAATACGGTTTGGATGTGTTAATCGGCTATGATCAACACCTACACCGTGTACAGGTACTCCTTGTTGAATAGATAATGGTGTAGCTGTAATGTCTGGACTATGAGTATCAGAAGCATTTAGATTGGTACCAGCAGGTGAAAATTGAGTTGTTGGTCGAGAATGAACATTCTGCTGCTGACCATCTAATGCACCCGTGGGACTGGAAGCACCAAATGGTTGGGATAGCAATGAGTTCAAATTAGTAGTAGGAACTGAAATGAAGTAAAAATGAACAAAAAAACCATATCATAGTAATTAACTTGACTGATAAGTACTTCTTCAAAGAGAGACAATTCAAGGAATTTGAAATAATTCAACAATGCATAAATCTACACAGATGTCTAAGTAATAAGTCGTGTGAACAAAGAAACATCTCTTGAACGCTACTACTGATCACTGATAAATACAACTAAACATGATACTTTAAACACTATACTAAGTATTCAAATGTCATAAACAAGCTGGTTGGTTGAATTTCATTAATGGATTATGAGGAACTTCACTTCTGATAACAAATACATATGGAGATAAACAGACAAATACACGTAAAAGCAAGCACAGACTATCGGTTCAAGTTGTCACACTTCACAGGATCAGACAAGGCAGGCAGAAGTGTGTTTTACAAAAATAGTAATAATAAGGCAGACGAATGTGTATAAGAGATGGAATACTTAAAGCATAAAGGTAAACAAAATGTTAGGAACTTCAAGTAAATAAATCTGTATAGTTACAATCGATTTGCAATCATATCACCAAGTCCTCCTAATCGCTGATTCCTATTATCTTCAGGACTCCAGCCAAATTGTCTACCCCCCCCCCGTACAGCTCAGACCAGCAGTCAGAGACTTCGTGAACTGATCCCAAATTTTGGTATGGCCACCCGAAGCTTTCTTCCAACCCAATCCTACTTCGGTTAACATTGAGCATCGAGGTACCTGGCGAGTTGGTATGCGCACATGGGTCCTAGCCACCCCGTTCCGTGAAAACTCACAACCTAATCGACTGAATTGTCTTCCTTTTCTGGTCTTTCATGTTTAACCCCGCCATTGCTCGCACGGTGATTCTATAATACGCAAGCAACACTAAGATGACAGGTATGGTCAAAAAACTATAACTCCTTCATACCTAGTTTCACAGGTCATGTCTGACAGCTCGATAGCAGAAACAAGCGGACCGTAGCGGAGTAAGCTCATCATTTAATAGAGGTGACATTATTTGGCGAATGCCGAATGAGCCATTCGTATTCCAGCTTACATTTCGCTAGAATCTAACCCATTTGGGCTGGTGCAAGTGTCAAGTGGTCAAAATAATCCACCAATATCACTCCCTATCCTCAAACTTGAACTGGGAGCAGATCAGTCCTGAAGCATCATCTCACACTTGATATGTGCAATAAAACGCATGTCAAAATACTTAGACTTCTGCTCAAGGTGTTCACAAAATTCTGCATTTCGTCAGAGTCTTCGCCTAAGATGATAATGTAATCTGCTCACTTCAAGCAAGCCAGATATCTTCTTGACCGTAAATGGGTTAGTGTGAAGGAGAAGGCACCTATAGTTATATTCATTAGCAAATCTATAACAAAGTTACACAGGAATCGTGACGGCAGACACTCCCGAAGGAAAATACTGATTGTCATTACTTCAGGTGATAAATTCCCATAAACCCTTACGCATTTGTTTGAGTTCGAGCTGGGAGACCCGATCAGCATTATTTACTTCCTCGGAACTTCCTTTGAAGTCAGATACTGCCACAGCACCTTTAGATACAAACAGTCAAATGCCACTTTTAGGTCAAGAGATATGGTACTTATCAGGCACTTGTTTTAGAAGACGAGAAATGGCTTAGATCGTTAGGAATGTTCACATGGTGAAAGATTGGTGAAGTTGCAAGGGGCTTAATATTGGTACTATGAACTGAAGATAATGATGGCGATAAAGGTGAGGGAGTTGGGCTATGGTTACTTAAGTTTCGCAAGCCGCTAGTGTTTTAAGGCCGCAGTTTTGCATAAAACATTCTTATTCATCTGAACATTTTTAACTTGCCATTTCCACACCATTTTCACAGCATGACTAGTAGTTTAGTTTATTTTCTGCCCCGATTGTAATGTAATTCGCTCATTGGTTAATCCTTATTCTTACTATGTCAATGTCTGTGATTGAAGACAAGGTCATAATTCATGTGTGTGTGTGTGTGTGTGTGTGTGGATAGTCACGTGCTTTTGAATTAATTGGTCGATATGTTCGGAGTAATAAACTCTCTCATCATCCAGCTTCGGTCTTCTTCCTCTATTCGTCCCGGAGTTGCAGTCAGTGGATCTTGGGAACTAAGTTACCTGTCAGCTGAGCATGCGTATTATATTCCTTTGAAATACATAACAGCTAGAAGCATGATGGTAGTTGGTAATTACTGATTGACCACATCATGGAATCGAATCGAAATGCACTCAACAAATTCGTGCACAACTATTGTGCGAGGGCTAGTGACAATAGCTGGCTGCCGAAACCTCGGTAGGAGTAGTGGGGTTGGAACCCATGAACAGCTGACTGAAAGTCATCTCCTTAAGCTGTATCTCCACAACACCATGAGAGGTAAACTGATTGAGGTAGCCTACAGTTCAAAGAGATTGATGCAAGATTGGAGTACAGACTTTTTAGTGATTGAATGACTGATGCCTTTTGGGTACCAACAAAGTGAATAGTTAATTTTTCACCGGATATGGAGAAACGAAATTGTTTAGCATTGGAGATTTCGAAGCACAAGAACCTATTACAACAATGGTAGGGAGTCAACACCGCTGCTTTTCATCAGGAAATTTGAATGTTGAATTTCGCCAGCAATCCCATGGATAGAGGTAAAGTCATCTGATAAATCCGTAGTAAAGAAGGAGCATACATCTAACCATTCAGTACAAATCACTACCATATACAACTATGAAAAGCTGAAGTAGACCACACAGAACTCAGGAAAGCAGCTGATAGTGCAAAGATGGAAACTACATACAATTCCTTTGAATGGGAAGTTTTTGATGTGAAATGAATTTATTTAACAACTCCATTGCTTAAAGCTGACGTTATCTAGTGTCACAGCTTCAAAATAATGAATGTTTTCTCCCCTTCATATAGCGGGGCAATCAACTTCAGTACTGTAGAACAATCTGAATCAATCGTTAATTATTATCGTTCGTTGTCACTCCTTTGCATCGTAAGAGGACAGGAGGAGATGGACCATCAAAAATGATTAAGCAACACTATACAGCCACATGAAACGGAAGAGAGAAGAAAAACAGCATCAGTAATGGGTTATTCAAGAGACAGTATCACAGGTACATATACACGCAAACATTCACTGTTCTCGTCTCATTTTTGTATAGTAAAAGAAACAAGAAAACTGCATGATAGCTACTTGTTTCGAATCGGAGCGATGTCTTCTATCGTCTCTTCACTGAGTTGTATCATCTGTCTTACCCCAACACAACTATCCTTTACATCATCACGGCGTCACTTCATACACTAGCTACATCTTTGTCTTTCTTCTCAACCAGTCCTCAGGCAAGAAAATAGTGTTCGGTGCGGAAGCCGCTGTGACAACATGCGTAATACACATATGACACACCGTATTACATTTCACCTATCCATATCAATGATGCAATCTCCAAGGGTCAGTATTGACGGATGAAGAAGAACATAGAAACAACATCCACTGTACACAAGAACGATTTGTCAATAGGATTAGCCAAACAGATCAGATTAACATGAAAATCCAGTACCAACAATCAAATGAATAAGGTTATTTACTTACATTTCATTTCGACAAAATTATATCTGTCATCAATAGTCAAGTGTGTACAACCACCATCATAACGAATAGATGAATATAATCCATTCTCCGAAAATCAGTTATACTAACTACCTGCTTAAATCTAAGTACGTTAAGAGGAAGTGAAACCCTTGACGCATTACAACTAGTACACAGTTCCACGAACTACTACAAATGTCAATAATATTGCTTTAAATAAATTGAACAGTAAGAAGCTATTAAAGTTAAACGGATTAACTGTTTAGCTATATATATATATATATATATATATATATATATATATATATATATATATATATATATATATATATATATATATAATGATTGTGAGGTTATTCTTACCTTGGAAACGATTTGGCGATTGTTGATTCATAACACCACCTCCACGTCTCTGTTGACTTGACATTATACCAGGATGGAATTGAGAGGATTGTTGATTCAATTGATGACGTATGTGTTGTTGTTGTTGTCCTGATGGGGGTTGTTGTTGTTGTTGAAGTTCCTGTTTCTGTGATTGAGAATGACTAGATGTTGTTGTGTTCACAGATGATGATGCATTCTGAGAATTTGCAGCATTCACTTTAGCTTGACGTTGAAGATATTCTTCTACTAAATGCATTGGATTTCTTTCAATTTCATGTAATAATTTTTCAATTAATGGAAGTTGAGCAAATGAAAGAACATTTAAATTTGCTTCTGGATGTTCTAATATATCCTTTAATTAATATATTTACGAACACAACCAGCAGCTTCAGGTCGTTTAGAGGCTAACTGAATAGCATGTTTAACAGTTGATAAATAACGATTAGCAATATCCGTTAATCCATTGATAATTTGAGCTTGAACTTCAGTAGATTTCACTTCTCCAACCTTTTTATTATTATCTGATATTTCAGGTGTTTTATTGTCTTTATCAAATGACTGTTGTACCTCAGCTATATTGATCAAAATCAAAGCAAACCAAACCAAAGAAAGACATAGTATATTGGTAATTAAAAAAAACAATAACTAATGCTAAGCTAAGTATTCTCTGTAGGAACAGTGTAATGTAAACCAGTCAGTCAGTTAGGATCAAGATCTGGCTTGACACTATGCTATAATGGTTGAATTTACTTATCACTGGAGAGTATTAGAGGTACCTTCTAAGAACACTGAGCGTCAACTCTCATATATTAGAATCTTTAAGCAATGTAGAAAAGAGTGACTAGTTACAGTACTAGTTGGATGGTAGGTCAATGACCAGTTTGTTTATAACTTTGTTGCCTTAGAAATTTCTTATGAAATACAGTAGCCTACTTTTTCCTCTTGAACTTTGATAAACTTCAATTGCACTTTCTAATATTACATTTGTTTGGTGAGCAATCAATGACTGGATTGGTGGTGGCTGGCAGAGAAATCCAAAGCATGCATTTCATCCTTTTGAGGATTCAGCAACTGAATACATCTGCATCGTAATGAGAGGTGAAATCCCCATTGAGATAAATTTAGTTCACTGTAATAATCAATAATGAAGTTGTTATAGTGTGCAATAAAACAGCCAACATCGTCATGAGAAGTCTTAAATCCATGTAGCCTTTCACAACTAATCGTGTTGCTTCATCGAAGTTTCGAGAAAAAACACACGAACCAAAGTGTAAATAGCAAATTGATTGAGTGGACAAAATCAATAGGATGTACTATTGGTAATTTACTTCGTTATGGCCAGCAGAGGAGTCCAGGACGCAAGTTTCGTCCTATTTTGGACTCGTTAGCTGGACGTACCTGCACCCCAGTGCGGAGTGTTGTTCCCACTGAGACTCGAACTTCGTACCCATCGCTTCAAATGCCAAAGAGTTATCTACCAGACCACTGAGGCGCGACAGCCGCCTCTTGTACAACGGGTATTAGTTATTATCATTATCTGTCGATATACTTGCGATTCTCCGTTACTTTACTGGATTGAATTGTTCGACCTCTGTTGGTATATGGACTCCTATGCGGATATCTCGATACTGCTTGAATATTTATGGTAATTCACTTGGTTGTAGCTAGTAGGACATGCGTGGGAGCCCATATACAAACAGAGGTAGAACAATTCGATCCAGTATAACAATGGAGAATTAAAAAGTATATCGATAAATAGTTGAAAGGATATACCATTCTTAAAATGCCTACAGACAGTCAAAGCCATTGCCAATATATATATATATATATATATATATATATATATATATATATATAAACCGTTAAATTTAGTACATATTTTGGTGCTGCAATACACTTTTGCAATACCGCTTTTTCTATTTACGGAGGAACTCAGCGACCATCAAGAGTGGGATCTGAAGGTTACTGTTCAAGTGTTCACTCATATGCATATTTAATTAGGATATAACAAAAGTACAAAGATCAACAGATAACAGTTGATTCCTGTTACACAAAAAGGTAAGTATCTTGACTCAATAGCGAAGTGGATAACGCTTACAACGTTTGAAGTAATGGGTCCTGGGTTTAAGACCCAATGAATATGCATACTCATGCAGTAGTCAATGAGCCATATCTATTGTGTGAAGGCTAGTGATACCTATCTGGCTGGCCGGCTGCCCTAAACCAATAAACCACAGGCCCAATGGAGACGCAGCCGCAGACCGAAAATAAGAAGGAACACGTGCGCTGTCTCTAGTGTTAGACATTACATCTCCAGACAATATCGAGATATCTGTATACGGGCACCTACAAGCCAACACAAAAAAATATTGGTCAATCCAATCCAACAGGAAAGTAAAAGTACAACAAACATCTACAGTTTAGTTTGATCACAAATGGTGATATTAACTAAGCTATCCAAACCTGAGTAGTTCGAGTCCAGGATTCACTGTTTAACAGTCAAATGAATCATAGCCGCATAACAAGTGATAATGTAGTAGGCGTTGCTGATAAGAATGGATATAAGTAGTATATGTTGAGAGAGTAGCAGAAATCATAGGGAATTACCAGTAATGGGTAAGGGTACCGTGAAGAGAAACACAAGACAGGCAGACAGACAGACACAAGACAAGACAAGTGCATGAAGAGTAAATCAAGAAAGAAGCAGAAGAGGAAATGAAGCACACTTTGCAAATGACGGTTTAGTGCAAGGTGTACCAATATTTAACTACTACTGTCCCAGTTGTTGACAATAAACATCCCTTCCTTCGTACCTATCTTCATGTTTCTTTCAATAAGACTTGTAAAGTACAACAAATTATCAGTAGCAAAGTAACCACTCTACAAAATGATTTATTGATACCTGAACTAGACTAATCTGAGTCAAATAGAAAACTACTAGTATAAATAAATAACTAAGAATAAAAACAGTATTACCTTGTGTATAACCTTTCACTTTTGATATTCCAGATGTATTGTTGCTATTTGGTTGTATACTAGATCTTGGTTGATATTGTTGATTAACTGATGCTATAGGTCGTGGTTGGATTTGATTATTTGGAAGAATTCCAATCTTAGATGATTGAGATACAGCTGGACGAATAATTTTTGTTTGTGTACCAGGTGGACCTGGTAGCACCGTTAGAATAGGCTTTGAAACAGTTGTTGTCCCAGTAAACGGTATTGTTGTTGATGAAGTATCAGAAATACCTTGTAGTGATTGTTGCCCAGTATTAACAATATGAGATGAATCACTATTTGTACCTGTTGGATTAATAACTGTAAGGCAACCAGAGCTAGATGTTCGAATGAGTAGAGCATTTGGACTAGATGTTGTCACTGTACATTAACAATAATTAAACAAGGTAGAAACAGAAATAGTTTTTTTAAAATAATGCAAAATAAGGTAAGCACATAGCTTTATACTAAGAAGAAAAGCACCACTTTATTCATCCAACATTCCGACCAAAAGAAACTTAAGGTCAAAGCGTGGTAAAAAAACAAACTCTTCCTCAACTTACAACTGGACAACACTCAAGGTCGGTAGTATTCGTGTAACATTCGAATATGTTTCACTTCTTTATGAAGTTAGTGATGAGGATGTTACGAAGTCTGAAGATGAAACGTCCACGACAGAAATATCAAAGCTCAGAGAACATCAAACCACCATCATATTCATCCTGAGCTGCAAATCTTTTCCATCATTGATCATACTGCAAAACATTGATTGGAATAGTATTGAAATACTCACCTGGAGAGAGGTAATATCTTAATAGTCACACAAAGGTGATGAGGTAACTGCGTAATGTAGTCTATTTGGTGGCTAGAAGTGGAATTTAGAATGCGCATTTCGTCCCACTTGGGACTCGTCAGCTGGAGTTTGAAGCGACGGGCACTAAATTCGAGTCTCAGTGGGGACACTATCATCCAATAGGGAATTCAGTTGAAAAATCCCAAATAGATAGAAACGCATGCCCTGGATCCAACTGCTAGTCACTAAGAAGGAAAAAACTTGCTATTCACCGACCAGAAAACCTAACTAAAGGTGTTCTTTATTAGTTTATTGTGAAGCTCTCAAATTCACAGGAAAACGGAAACATATTTGCCCGAAGAATTTGATTTTCAATAGCTGAATAATGTTCATCTCAGCTCTTAATTCAATAAAATGGATTACCTACATATAAAATATACAAACTATAGGTCAGTAGAAAGCATATTCTATTTATTATGAAAGGCGAGAATTGATACATAATGAGTGACACTCTGATGGTTGTTAAACTGAATGCGGCAAATCATTCAAATAATTTGCGATAAACAGCCTTACAAATACATACATGCAACCATTTACTACTCTTGTTCCACTTTTCCGTAGTAGAAGAAACAAGAAAACCCCAGCATGATAGCCACTCATTCCGACTTTGAGATATTTCTGCTACCGTCTCTCAAGCCATGATTTCTCGTACTCTATTCAACCATTCTTCATTCTGGGGCACTAGATCATACAATGAACACCTCTGCGCATCTTTCAACTAGTCCATAGCACAGGAAAAGAAAGAAGTGTAGTGGTCATTTGGACGACATTTGTGGTACGTTCTGAAGCCAGTATTTCACAATGGCTACACTCAAAAAATAACTGTCTCTATCAAAGACAAACACACGCTGCCTCACCTTAGAATTGCTTACATAGTATCCCATTAAAATGAGAACAGTCCTACGGAAATAACTGTGATTGAATACGCAGAGTGATTAGACATTCAGCTCGGTAGGGCCGAATTCCGCAGGTGTTAAGCAGAACTGCCCGTACTAACGCCATGTATACACAACTTTCTACAGTAAGATTAATGTCAGAATAATCCAAGAAGCGAGCGGAATTGGGGCACGCCGCTCTGGTCTTCGATATAAGATTGAAAATCCCATCAGTCATACCACCAACACGTACAAACTTCGCGACACCCTCCAATGACTCATTACTGAGGATGGGTTTAGGCACAGCCTTCTGTAAATCTTGTAGAAGCACTGTATACAGTGCAAAGAAAATATCATACTTACGGATCGAGATCGCTGACTGACTGGGTGAGATTTGAGTAGTCTGTATGCTGTCGCAGAGTAAAAAGATATTGTCTGTATACTCTAGGTAGAAAAGTTTTTCATCTGATAACAAGTCTACGGCACCACCCAGCATTACCTTCAGAGCTGTCTCGAGGGTGTCATCGATGACAAAATCAAAGAGGAATGATGAATTCGGACAACTCTGCTGAACTCACTATTGGTTTGGAATAAAGAACATAGATAGCTCTACCCAAGGTGTAGAAGCATAGGGCTTTCAAGATGTTAACAAACTCTTCAGGGCGATCCCTTCCCAGTTGACAATTCCAGAGTACAGACTACATCAACGAATCAAAACCAGTCCCAATATCCAATAATACGATCATAAGTCTGTAATAAACTCAACAATGTTCGAGCACATGACGGAGTATGAGGACGTGATTAATGTGTCCAAGACATGAACAAAACACGGTCTGCTACTTAGGGATCAGTTTCCCACGTTTCGCACAACTCGCAAAGAATGATACCAACACACACCGATATTCCGATGATTATCACATACATCACGTAGATACTTTTTAGGATGAATACAATAGTGGCCTTATTTCAGAGTGATCAAACACCTTGAGGTCATCAAACATTCCTAAACAATGTAGCCAGTTGTTCAACGTCAGTTCCACCTCCATCCTTGAAAAGACAGGTAAATGCAGACAAACACAAACAAAACTAACGTAGAACGTCATACATAACTGCAACGGTCGAAGTTGACACACTTCACAGTAGTATGCAAAGAACAAGAGGATAGGAAAAACTTATATCAAAGTAGACAAAGTTGTGTGTGAGAATAAACAATTTGAAGATAAAGGTTAGTCAAAACATTCAAGCTTTAGAAGATGTCAATGAGTAAATACGTCTGCGTCATTGTGACCGATTTTCGTTGTATTTCAGCAATAGTCTCCAACCGCTAATTCCAATAATCTCCAGGACCTCAGCTAGGTAGTCTTCATCACCCTGAACGGTTCAGATCAGATGTCAGAAACTTCATGAAATGATACCATTTCGTGGTCTGGTCACCTTGGTCCCTCTTACAACCTAATCTAACTTTGCATAACGATTTAGGTGGTGGCTTCACATGCGCAGCACATGTCCAAGCTATCTCAGTCGATAAACGTTCACAACATTATTGACTGAACTTCCTGTCCTGCCTAGTACCCTTCGCTTAACCCCAACATTGTTCACATGGGGTTTCCACCACATACAAGCAATGCCACAAGGACATCTGTGATCAAAAATTTGTCACTTCTTCACATCTACTTTTAACTATTAGGCAAATGCCACATTCAGGTCAAGAAATATGGCTAGGATTACGCACCAGTAACAGTGCTTGAGCACCAAGATCTCATGAGTGGTGAAGATCTGCTTGATACATTCCTGGTCCAATGTCAAACCCTCCTCTCTTCTTCCTGTTTTCCAGATTCATTTGGGTATCTGATCACTACAAAACCTATAATCTCAGACACTAGTTTAGGCAAACTGACTGTCCTTGTGATTTCTATTTTCTTGAAGACTTGGACAACTAGCAGGTGATACCCATCAGTAGCGGTCATTTCTGATTCCCACACGAAAGCTGACGCTCGTCAATCCAACCAGTGGTCCTTGAACATTGCCCTTAAATACCTTCGGCACTAGCCTTATCTAGTCTCACCGCCCTATCTTGTTTCATATCACTCAGTTTTCTCATCTACCACGAGAGTCAAAGGGTTTATCGCAATATTCCATTCACGATCCTCCTGAATAACAGCTGGAGAGTGGTTGAACTGTTCCTTGAAGTGTCACGTCTGAGTGAATCGCAGAATCATTCTTGTCCTGTATTATTTCGCTGATAACCGTTTTTGGTCCCATTTCCCTGACCAGTCTAAATAACTGGCCACTGCTACCTATCGCCGTGGTCTTTTGCATCTCCTTAGCCTTTGCAGCTCATTACTGTTAGTTTACATTTGAGCTGCATCCAATATCCATTTTGTTCGGAGCTCGTGTGACTGCAATCACCAACATCCCTTTTCCAATCACTTTCTGAGTCAGCTACGGTGTTTAGTGTTTGTTTCACTGCAGATAGTGCCAGAATTCTTTTAGATAAGCGATGTTGTTCACTTTTACACGCATGCTCAGACCAGTGTATGAATGCTGTCCTAACACGTGACACAGGAAGAGCAGCATCACCACACAGACCCTCCCTAGCAATAGCCAATATTGACATGGCCTACCTATGTTCAGGCCGGTGGACGCCAGCTCACGCAGTGTATCTCTTTATGTCCAAAGTTCACGCCAGTCAGAAATGGATGGTTATCTGAACACAGTTGTAACAGTCGATCGCCGTTACGCCTTCGTTTGATTGCGATGCTGAAAGTACCAGCTAAGTGTCTTGCCGCCTAGCTCAGCCTACCCACTGGCACATTGAAATCACCTGCAACGACAATCCCATCTGAACGTTTAGCTCTCAGTAAGAGGATAAACAGTCTTCAGTAGGACTCATCCTTCAATTCAATCCAATCGTCGTCAGCTGGTGAGTAAGTAAAGATTACAAGCAGACGGTTGATAGTCTCACTACTCTTTTTAACCCTCCCTGTCCCATTCAGTCGAACAGAGCACAATTGACTGTCAACTGCGATCTAGTGCAGCAGTGCACTTTCTGTCTTAGTATCTAATGCTATACACTCACGAGACCGTGAGAACTAGCCACTGAAACTCCAAAAACTCGAAGGTTGAATTCACCTTAGTAACTGGGTGGGGTTAAGTAAACAACTGTACTTAGGTGGTGTATGCGTATCTGACAGACACAACATATGTCCATGACCCCAGATGCCAGTTTTGACCAGTGAAAGTGAGTGTCTGATTCGACTAAATGTGTTGACATTGAAAGCTCCATTATATAACTTCAAGTGTGACTTTCATGAATCACCGACGTTGATTCGTGAACTCGAATCCTTTTCAAGAGCTGCACAACTGAAAAGAACTAACGATGAAGTTGAATTATTGAGAAAGGTGTGAAGAAGATTAGAAACCAAAGATGTGGAATGCTGATAATGAGGAAACTTGAAAGCTAACAGAGTTGTGTAGGTCAGATGACACTTTCAGCATCGTGGGAGGTAACTTATTCTTGAGCTAGATGAAAAAGAAATCTAGTTAAAGATGATGCAAAACCACATATTTTAAGAGATATTTACTTTAAACTAGCCACACATGACCTTTTTGGAGCCAAGATTTAAGTTTGTTTGCTCTGAATCCAACTAGAA